CCACAGCCTCCCAGACACTGTTCAGAGAGGTGTACTGTTTTCCCTCCTTGTAAATCTCACATTTGATGATGGACCACAGGTTCTCAATGGGGTTCAGATCAGGTGAACAAGGAGGCCATGTCATTAGTTTTTCTTCTTTTATACCCTTTCTTGCCAGCCACGCTGTGGAGTACTTGGACGCGTGTGATGGAGCATTGTCCTGCATGAAAATCATGTTTTTCTTGAAGGATGCAGACTTCTTCCTGTACCACTGCTTGAAGAAGGTGTCTTCCAGAAACTGGCAGTAGGACTGGGAGTTGAGCTTGACTCCATCCTCAACCCGAAAAGGCCTCACAAGCTCATCTTTGATGATACCAGCCCAAACCAGTACTCCACCTCCACCTTGCTGGCGTCTGAGTCGGACTGGAGCTCTCTGCCCTTTACCCATCCAGCCACGGGCCCATCCATCTGGCCCATCAAGACTCACTCTCATTTCATCAGTCCATAAAACCTTAGAAAAACCAGTCTTGAGATATTTCTTGGCCCAGTCTTGACGTTTCAGCTTGTGTGTCTTGTTCAGTGGTGGTCGTCTTTCAGCCTTTCTTACCTTGGCCATGTCTCTGAGTATTGCACACCTTGTGCTTTTGGGCACTCCAGTGATGTTGCAGCTCTAAAATATGGCCAAACTGGTGGCAAGTGGCATCTTGGCAGCTGCACGCTTGACTTTTCTCAGTTCACAGTTATTTTGCGCCTTGGTTTTTCCACACGCTTCTTGCGACCCTGTTGACTATTTTGAATGAAACGCTTGATTGTTCAATGATCACGCTTCAGAAGCTTTGCAATTTTGAGACTGCTGCATCCCTCTGCAAGATATCTCACTGTTTTTGACTTTTCTGAGCCTGTCAAGTCCTTCTTTTGACCCATTTTGCCAAAGGAAAGGAAGTTGCCTAATAATTATGCACACCTGATATAGGGTGTTGATGTCATTAGACCACACCCCTTCTCATTACAGAGATGCACATCACCTAATATGCTTAATTGGTAGTAGGCTTTCGAGCCTATACAGCTTGGAGTAAGACAACATGCATGAAGAGGATGATGTGGACAAAATACTCATTTGCCTAATAATTCTGCACTCCCTGTATATAGATTGCATCTTTCAGTCACATAGCAGACTCAAGTACATCATTGGTATCTTAACATGGAAACTTTTTGAAAGACAAATATTTTCTTAATGGCAGTTTATTGGTTTATGTGCAAAACTGTTTAAAATGGGCTCAACCAAAACACGTCCTTTCAAAATGGCACAACTGCAGATAAACAACGTGTAGGTGGTTGGACAGCAATCGTTCGAATAGCACCCTATCCCTTTAAGTCAGTCAGACTAGGGTGGGACAAAAAGTGAATGATTAAATGTGACCATAAAGCACAAAGGAAAAGTCCTCTCTGCAGCCCTTCTGAAGGGTCGCTCTGATAACATGGTTTTTATTCTGGTGAAGACTAGAAAAGCAGCCTGAAATGAACCTGAAACCTACACCTACGCTCAGACAATAAAAGCATTCATTATGCCTGACTTGCACTAAAGCATGACTGAACATGAGCTTGTGTTACAGAGCAGCATGGGTAACAAGTACAAAGCAGCTAATATTCACTGTAAAATCCTTCCTTTTTTCTTTTTTTTTTTTAACCAACTGTTTTTACAGCAAAGATTAGTACAAATACAAAGTATGTTGTCTGTGGACTGAGCCAAAAACTCAGCTGGTGTAGTCACAACTTGCTTGGTGGAAAGTTTGGTCGTCAGTGATAAACAAATATATATTACTAACAACAAAGATGACATGTGAACGTTCATCTGGAGGATGTAAAAACCAGAATGTGGAAAAACTAGAACAATTGCCGTGAGATGGAGAGATGTTAGCAACCAAACATGCAAACAGTGAGCAGGAAGTGAAAAGAAAAACCAAAACGTTAACTGTAACCTCAGTGCATCTGGAGACAGCTCAGTTAGGGCCAAAGTGTCAATGCGAATTAATGTCCTTACCCACAGTTTGAGTATTTTAAGCTCGCCGTGACACCACAGCTTCTTCCTGGCTGGACGTGCCTTGTTTTTGTAAGTTTACTCTCTAACTTAAGAGAGTACAGTAACCTGCAAAATTGGTTTCTTTCTGCTCAACAATACCAGCATGTTCTTCACTCTGGAGATGCCAACAACAACACACGCCAACAACTGCATGATGGTGATGACGTTTAGTGAGCTGTCACGGTCTTCTGAATCCAGAACTGATAGTTCCAAAGTTAAGCGACAGGATTAGAAGAAAAGTTTTTGTGAACCCTTTAGAATCAGCTGCATTTCTACTCTGATTATTAATAAATGTGGTCTGATCTTCATCCAAGACACATTAATAGATGTGTTTGGGTTTTTTTTTTTTTATCACACTGAATAATAAGAATAAGAGTCTGGGTTTGAAAGTGCATATGAATGAATTTGTGACCAAAAGATGAATTGGTTGGAACCTTGCCTCAAGCACAATTTTCACAGGACCTCAGAAGAACCATTTTAGAGGTTCATAAAGCTCAGAAAAGACTACAAAAGCAATTCTAGAGCCCAGTCCAGGATGTCCATCATTCTGCATTAAGACACAATGTCTCATTCATAAGGTGTTACTGCTCTCCCTGGGAACTAACATCTTGCAAAGATTATACCAACAAAAAGACACGTAGTCCTGAAAAAGGTGATGAAGCAGCCAAAGTGACAGGAGAACATTGCAATAGCAGAAAATACCAAATAATAATCAGGTAATAGAACGAAAATAAGAAAACATAAACCAAAACGGTGCCGCCTAAGATCAAAGGCTAACTGGATGATCTGGAAAGCATCAGGTATTCTTTGAACATATGTACGTTATACTTACTGGGAAGCATGGCAGAGGAACCATCATGGTTTGAGCTTCTTTGCTTTCCTGATGCATGAATGCACTGAAACTGGGGGGAACAATGAATGGTGACTATAAGGGCAGCAATACCTGACATAAAACCGGCGGAGCACACAAATGAATGGACAGCAGAACGGTTGCAAAAGAAGAAATTCATGTTTTGGAACGAACAAACCAGAGTTGTGACCTCAACCCAATTTGTAATGTTGTAGCGCGATCAGAAGAGGGCTTGTGAATCGCGTCATAAACTGAAACTGATGCATTTTTTTCTTTTTTTAGGAGGAGGAAATGTGCAAGTTATAAACGGTTGCAGGACACATCCCCTGTTCTCGCTGTACAGTTTTTTCCAACCTGGACTGTTAATGTTCAATCTGTGTGCTTAAAGATTTGAACAAACATTTGAGTGTTAGTTCAGTCAGACCGGTTTTTCTTAATTGCGACTTAATAAAGATTAATACAATGACCCCCTAAAGCTGTGGATATCCTTTTACCTTCAGCAGACAGTTAACAGTGAGTCATTATTTAATGAAAGGTTTAGTCCTGAGCATTCAAAACTTTTTCCACTTCCCCAAGCCGGCCATTTTATCTTACCCAAACCTCAGCAGCTGTGTTCAAGGGGAAGCAGGTGTTTGCCGTGTAGGCTTGTGTTATCAGGGCAACGGTCAAGTCAAATAAAAGGAGGCGTGACAGCTTACCCTTAAGCTTTGCGCAGACTCCTGCTTTCATAACTCTCCCAGAAAGAGTACATGACGCTCAACATTGGCAGTTGTAAGCATCTTTGAGGAAGAGGGTTTCGGTTAGGCTGTGGTGAAGCATCTCATGCTGGTGACACATTATCAGCTATAAATACTACTGATCAAAAGCTGTATAAGAGGCCCCCCAAGGGTTTTAGTGGAAGTAAAATGTGTGCAGATAAAGCTGCTGTGTGGCCGTCTAATCAAATTGAAGCAAAACATCCATCAACAGAAATTCCAATGATCCTTCGAGCATATAAAAATGAAAAAGAACTTAAGAAAGTCTTTCAGGTTCCTGTTTTTAAATAGTGAGTGAAGAATCGGTGTTTAACGAGATAGAGGAAGTTGGCAATGCGATGAGCTGTTCTCTGACTCTTTATGACAATACATTTGAAATACGCTTTGTACTGACGCGCGTTTCCCTGAATGCTATGAGTACATCTTTAAGTTTTGCAGTGATGCTCTTTTCGATGACTGTTTAATACTGAATATTGACGTACACCTTATCTAGAGTCACACTGTGTCAGTTGTATGTTTTACAGTGAAAACAAACGCAACAACAGATATCGAGGTAAAATTTTCATACATGTAAATCAGGCTTTGCAGGTCTGTAAAGACGTCATTTTCAATTTTGGATTTGGCCTGAAGAGCTACGATGGGCATTTCACAGCAATTAAAATAAAACAAAAGTCAAACTTGTCTCTGAACTCAAAAGGATTTATCCATAACCTGTCTTTTTCTTTTTACATTTCGCCTTTTCCAGTTTGATATATTTGAACAAAAACACATGAACAAACGTGCTAAGAGTCGTTTTTTGAACACTAACTGGAAAGAAACCAGTGTCTAGTTTTTTTAAGCTTCTGTTTGCTTTAAAAGTGTTGCAACACTGTTGAACTGCCCCGTTAACAATAAAGGGAAGTGACTGAGAACTCAAAGTACAATCAAGAGGATCTTAGTAACCTGCAATAAAAAGTCTCAAACTCAGTTTTACTAAATGTTTTATTTTTTTCCTTTTTGATTAACAAATTTCCTCTGAATATGTGATGAATTCTTGATGTCCCTCCTTCCCCCTTAAAAACAATTCTTTATACATCTGTGGTCAGTGCTCTCACACGTGTTCTGCTCCCTATCTTGACACTGATCTGAAACACTTTGAGCCTTGTTTCCTTGGTAGACAGTTTCTTGGTCCCTTATCTTGGCACAGATGACACTTGTTGCTCGTGCTATAGACACACAGTCACATCCTGATCATAGCACAAGACAGAGACGGTTTAAAAAAAAAAAAAAACCAAAGCTGAAAAAGTTTTCAAAGCAACAAGACAGAAAACTGCTTTACAGCTGCTGTAAACACATATGCAAATAGCACGCTTTTTTTTTTTTTTGTAAACTAATTACACATTTTTAAGGGCTACAGTTGGATTAACATTTGGACGGTGATGATTGGAGAAGCCTTTTCAGTGCAGATGGATAAAAAAAATGTGACTAAACAGAACACACGTCAAATACATGTAAGAGGAACCCTCTAAATAGCTACACTCCAGTTTCCTTCCTCTTCAGTGATCCCTGTAACTTCTGGTCCAGTCTGGTTTTGGAGAGCGTCTGAGGCCTCAGTTTGGGGCCAGAGACAGGAGGAGGACAGTTCTCATTTTCCTCTTCGTCACAGACTGTGGTTGAGGACACAAAGGAGTGGCTTTTTGCTGGGATGGTTTCCCCCCGCTGAACTCTAGCTGGAGCCCCCTGCTGTTGGGACATGGCGGTTCGGAGGCAGTTGAGCCACTGCTGCTTGTGGTAGACGTCACTCACATGCAGTGTGTGGGTCTGGCCGTGAGAAGGATCCAGAGAGCTCACGCGGAAAACATTCTTAGCTAGAGAAGAAGAGAATAAAAGTGGCAGTCAGAAAAATAATACTGATGCTTTGAAGCTACAGGATTCTGGAAAATCCTTTTTAATGACACTCAAAAGAGAAAAAAAATTTCTTCGCCAGTTCATTCAGCATTATAAACACCAGTCCTATAAGAATCCATAATCTCCCACCTCACCCAACCTCCTCTGCATGTTTCTTCTAAAGAGTAAGTCAACACAATGGTACAGACAACTTGTGAGCAAATACAAAAAGGGCCGCCAGTCGTGGCAAGCCAAGTGTGAATTATAACATGACTCAGCAGGTTCACTCTGGTGTGCAGTGTGCTTTAACCCCGTAAAGCCCAAACTATTAAATATTACCAGAGAACTCGAGTGTTTATTGAACTTACAGACCAGTTAATTTATTTTGTTAAATAAATATTAATTAACATCACTAATAATTATGAAAAAGAATATCAATTAAAAATAAAGAACGCCCATCAATGGATGTTTTTGGAGTATGTTGTGTGGTTTAACATATCAGTCCAAAATTTCCCATCAAAAACTGGTAAAGTGGATAAAACCTGACGTAAGGATGAACATGTGTAATTGGGTCATATCAGGTTAGTGTGACTGTGTATTGCTGCTCTTGGCTTCACCATTTTAGCGAAAAGCATACTTTGGAAGTGGACCACTACTAAGCCCCCCCTTCTTCTAGCAGGAGAATATGACTGAGGTTTGTAAATGAAAGTTGGCGAGAGAAGAAGCAAGACGCAGCTACTGACTGGATTCATGCATCCATGCATCCTGAATATTTGTGGAGTTACAACTAAGACATTTTCAGTTATAAAGGTATTAGTTTTACTATAAAAGATGCATTTCTAATAATTTAGTCTACAAAAATTAAGCACAGAAAAAGAAAGCGTCCAAAGTGACATCTTATAATTGTTTTGTCTAACTGATGGTCTAAAACCCCAAAACTCCTCATGTTTACACTGATATGAACTCCCGTCTATTATTGAAGCCATCAGAAGTCAACCCACCTTTCTCTCCATTGGTGAAAGCCCCTCTGAAGGACCCGCCCATGCGGATCTCTCCATCCTGCAGGTCCTCCATGGCCAAGTCTCGAACAGGGATGGGCTGCCGATACACCTGGAAGCAGCTCCTCTCGTTGCGCGTCACCGGCCGAGTCAGAACGAGCAGCTCAGAGAAGAGGAACACGTGCAGCCTCTGAGGCAGCACAGTAACAGAGCGTGAAACTTCAAAACGACACGAACGGCGTGCAGATACTGTAACAGTGAGAAGCATCCATTCTTACCGAGCCGCTCTTGTTCCTCAGCTCGCCGTGACACAGAAGTGTCTTACACTTATCTATGAGGGGGTCCCGCTGCTTATCGTCCAGAAACTCCAGTTTGTCAATGTAATACTGGCACTCAGACTCCCCCTTTCTCACGTTGATATCAGACAGGATCTCCTGGATTATAGTGATCTGGATAATAAAAAGTTATCATAAAATGATGGTGTATTTTATTTGCAACAAACATGCAAATTGCCAGATTATGTGGCACGCAGGTAACGTACTGCTGTCTCCAGACTGGTCACGTCTGGGTGATCGGGAGGAGTGTGTCTGAGGATCTCTCGCAGCAGCAGCGGGTATTTTACCAGACGTGAACGAGGGATGTCAAGGAAGCTCCAGAGGTCCAACTTCCTGCTGAAGGGTGACTCCAAACAGCGCTGCAGGAAATCCTGCACCCGCCTGTCCTGCTTTTTCTGGTCCAGCAGGGCTTTGGCGGCAAGCTGGTTGCTGCAGTAGTTTTTGTAGGCATTCAGACGGGGCAGCTGAGAGAAAAACAGTCGGAGGCAAAACATTTACACGGTGCACTTTTCATGTCTTTAAAAAAAAAGAAAAGAAAGAAAATATCCAAAGGCTGCTTGTCGGATTAGTTTTTTAAAAGGATTTTCAGTTTCCTCAAAAGCATCTTAAATATGAATATTAGCTGATGGCAGGCTGTGAAGTTTCAGTCAGCGTCATCAGTTCTAAAGTAAACGTGATCTCTACTGCCACCATATGAAGACTATTGTTAAAAAAAAAGGTAAAATTAGAGTGAAAGAATAAATTAAATAAGAATCTGCAACCAATTTACTCATGCAACATTAAATATACAAATTATTGTCATGTACAGCCAACTATTTAAAAAAATGATATAATAAGTACCAATTCTAGCAAATAATATTTTAACTTTAGTGAGTTTAGCAAGAATTTTTATAATATAATATTTGTATTAAAATGTCCTAACTTGGCAAAGCCTTATAGGATAAACATCCACTAAATACACTCACTGCTAAATTAATGAGGTACAAATTATGGGCTCTTTTGTAGCACAGATTTAATAAAGTGCTGGAAACACTTATGATAACAATCATACAGTTGCTGCATATTTGTTGGCTACACATCCACAACAATAATCTCCTGGTCAAACGAATCCAATTTGAGCCGATCTGAGCTTTGTGGTGTGACTTGACATGTTTTCCTGCTGGATGGGCATATGGTCATAAAAGGATAGCCATGGTCAGCAACAATACTCAAGTAGGCTGTGGTGTTTAAACAGTGTTCAATTGATACTAAGGCAACCAAAGTGTGCCACAAAAATATTCCACCACCATTATACCACCACCACCAGCCTAAACCGGTGATACAAGGCAGGATGGATCCATGCTTTTATTTTGAAATTGAGACTCGTCAGACCGGTCAACATTTTTCCAATCTTCTGATGTCTAATTTTGGTAAGTCGTATGAACTGGGATCAGTTTTCTGCTCTTAGCTGACAGGATTGGCACCTAGTGTGGTCTTCTGCTGTTGTAGACCATCTGCTTCAAGATTTTACTGTAGCTGCAATGAATGGCTAAGTTACTTTTGGCTTCCTATGAGCTCAAAGCAGTCTGGCCCTCTCTTCTGACCTCCAAACTTCTCCAGAGTGGTCACATCTGGGTGATCAATGCAGTGCTTCTGAAAATCGTCTTGACCGTGTCTACTGGGCTAAATGCACTGATTTGATACCAAGTGAGTGGCCGATTAGATATCTGTGTTATCAAGGTGAGTGTATATTCTCAGGATAATGTTACTGTATTCATACCCAATCTATCACTATCTGCCCGATCTGTGCTACTGTTCCATCAGAGCCAGTTCCCTCCGTCAGCTTCACCAATAACTCTGCAGAATGTTAAAAAAAGAGAGAGAAAAAAAGAGATACATTTGTTAGCGAAAAACAAACAGCTTCCAGTTTTATATCCAAGTTAGCGAGAGCTCACCTTCGTGTAGAGGGATATATGCATCCAAGTCGCCAAAGATGTGAGCCAGCTCCTCCTCTGTCATGATGGAAAGCTTTAGCATCGGATCGTGGTACGCCTAAACACAAAAGCAGCAGTTTGAGTAAAAAAGGAAGCTGAAATGTTGGATTCTTCTATTTTTACTCAAATATTCTACTAACCTTTCGGGCAAGTTGAAGATCTTCGATGAGGTCCTGCTCTCCCCTGTACAGTTCATAAATTGCCTGAGAATAAAACAAATGCCGGAGAGGTTACTTTCTCAGCTCTCAGCACATTTAAGATCCTGCTCCTGACTTAAGGCTGAGCTGCACAACCTCTTGTCTCTTGATCTCTTTTGTTGAGAACGTGCTCTTCTGATGGACGTCCAGCGTCTCCGACCACAGCGTGCTGTTTCTCCGTTTCGTGGGGGTTGGACCTGAAGCTTTGCTACCAGCTTTGAGGGACATCCCTGGTGACTTGGTATCACGTGATGACATTGACTACAAAAAAACAAAGGCTGTTGTTATTGAAGATGGTACGGGGTAAGTGTTGTTTTTAAGTGTCACAGCACAGCGCTCACCTGGATGGTCTGACCAAAGCGCCGCACTGCTCCATTCTTTGAAGGAGATATCAAGTTGACGAGGGATGAAACTTTGGCAAGTGATCTGACACGCTTGTTACTGGGTTCCTAAAAAAAGAAAAATACAATTATAATAAACTAAAACTGTAGGATTTATTTATAATTGAAGCTATTGGCATTTTTAAATAGCCTCACACACAATTTACTCATATTCCTTTCATCTATCTTCTTAAATGCTCTATTTAGCAACAGCAGTAAAACACCTGGATGACATGAAACTGATCTGCTCTCTTAACAGTTTCAGTTTAGTCTCAGGACTGTTTGCTGTGCAGATGTATTTATGTTGCACTTAGATCTACAGTCTGACTATGTGATCTCCAGTGAAACACACACTGAGAAGTTATATCCATGAACAAAGTGTCTGCTTGGTTAGATCTCTTCTTGTACTTCATACGGTTCTCCTACACATTTGAGGGAGAATTTCAGCTTTCTCAGCTCTTCCTTTCAAATATCCGAGTAGAGGAACTTTGCTCCTGCTTCTACAGCACAGAAACATAGTGTAAATGCTACGCTGATGTGCTGAACTGAACCCTGAATTTATGACAATCACAGCACTGCTTGTATACTCTTTCACAGTTATTTCCTCAGCCGGTCTGAGGCATAGCAGGATTATCCTCAGCCTGCATGATTCAGGCTGTCTGTGATGACAACCCGAGTCATGCAGAAGGATTAACGTTTATGGTAGAGATGCATTCAGGTGCAGAAAGGAGGCTTTCCGACTCTCACCTTGAGGTCGAAGCTGGACAGGCTGACGGTATCATCCTCCTTCTCTTTGCGCTTTCTTTTCTGCAGCAACAAAACACAAGATAGCGGTTACTTTTAAAGGCCCGATGAGTGTTTAAACAACAGATTTAAAGCAGCATCTCTTATATGAACATAACAACGATAACAGTCCAAAATGTTATCCTGCTACCCATGACCAGATGCAATACGTATATGGGGGTTTCCTGTCTCAGATTGGGACTTTGACGGGAGACTACCCATGGCAGTGTTCTCTGTCGACACACAATGAGTCCATGTTGTGTTATTATTTGGGTGAAAAGTATGCATTTCTCCATTATTTGTGACAGGTGTAAAAATAAGCCGCAGCACAACTTTACTAAAAATTGAACTAGCCTTTTACAGGCTCAAACCTTATGGAGAACTACTAGAACTGATTTCACATTCTTGAATGTTAAAAACACAGTCCCCCCCCCCGTGTATATTGGTACAGAACGACTCCCTTCTCCGTCTGGATGTAACACTCCCTTTTATCTCCTAGAGCATTTACTTCCGAGCATTCAAAGTGCGGACAGTACAAAAGTTCAACCCTTTCAGAATCAAAACACTGCAGGGTGGTTGGCTGATCTGGTATCTGTGTAAAATGTGCAGGTGCGGACAAAGCCAGGGGGGCTGACGCACACTGTGTGCTTGATTTTTTTCTTCTTAAATGTTATTACTGTGATGCTCGTGATTTTTAATGCTGGATAAAATCACCAAAAACCTCTCAGCCAAAGGTTTTGGAAAACCATACAAGCCATATAAGACATGGATCAAGAGAGCTGTTCAGTTTACAAAGAGATAATTGTGTGAGGGCCTGATCGCTGTAATAAAACATGATGCTGTTGCATATCAAACATGAACTCACTAGGCTGAAATCCCACGGAGTCCCAGGAGTGAGGAAGGTGAAGGAGCTGCCTCTCTGCAGTGGTGGTCTGTGGGAAATTAAACAAATCATGTTTGGCCTTGCACAATGAAAACACATTTATAGCATGGTCGTTACACAATGGCAGCTTTTCATTTTCTGGTATCTTATCAACATGGTCAGCAACAATATGCGAGGCTTACAGTATAACATGGAAGCATTTTTGTTACCCTTTACGTTGCAGTTATGTTTCAAATATGTGCTCTGGGATGACTGAGGCACAACAAAGCCATTTAAGGAGCTGTGCGGTTCTGTTGTGCTACTTGTCAATTTTGGCGACAAAACAATGAAACTACACAGTTTCTGTCAGGGTCAAGGCCAAGGGGCAGCTGCACCCACTACTGCAAAACCCCACTAACAGTGCTCATGACTCTGAGGAATGAGTAGAACCAGTACTGTAAAAGTTTTGTTGAGAGTCATGAGATCTGATTTACTGACGTCACGTTAACCATTGTTAACAGTCACCACTTTCTGGGAAAAAACAGTTGGAGCCAATCACATTTTTTGAAATCCGTATCTGATATTATACTGTTTGCATTTTTTGAAAGTCTGCAAGTACAAATACAGGTGCAGTGCATGGCCATCAAATTAAAGCCACAGTACACTAATCAAAACGAAGCATTATAAAGCAGGGTGATCAAATAACAACGGTGTTTTATAACATAAACATCTATATAGTGTTTATAATGCACATATAATATTAGCCTTAAATGATTTGGGGAATGGTTTTTTTTAATTAAGCCCAGTTTAATATTTAGAATGTAATGTTATGACCAAAAGATGTAACCTCATGAACTCATGTGGGCTAACCTTAACCCACATGTATGTTGTTGGAGGGTGTATATGCAGTTGTTTTGGGTCACTTCTGTTTGGTGAGAATGACTCCCACGTAAGGAAAAAGGTCAAAAATTTGGAGATTCACAGAAAGTGCATGTTGCAAGCCTCAATGAGATGTGCTGTATAAAGCGTAGACTAACTGCAGCTTTTGCAGTCTACCAAATGCACATATTGCAATTTCAACTTGAAAAAATTATTCAACCCTAAATGATACAACAAATAATGTTCTTTTTGCAAACTTTTGCACAGGTCTGATTACAACGTCTCTCCACCTGTAGTATTTTGATGGTAATTTGCAATAAAAGAAACGAACAACCTGTAAACAAAGTTTTGTTCCCTCCCCACAACAAATAAAGATGTATTTTACAGAGGATGACATTATTACAGCCCTAATATAAAGATGATGTCTACTGCACAGGAAACTGTACAAATCCTAAATCACACACACATATGCATGTAAAAATTAAATTAATTATCTCTTTATTAAAACAAGATAAGCAGACATATGTGTATTCAGTCGATTGGTTGGCTTCCGAGGTGCACTTGAAAGCACCTTTTGCCAGTTACAATACCAGCCCTGCCCGTCACAGTTGGCCGACCGGGTAATGGATAAAATGTTTGCTGTAGTATACTGTACTATATTGCAAAAGTTCTGTCGAATAAATAATTATGCTATCACCTTTTCGCAGCTACGTGCTTCTTAGAGCTGTTTCTCCGTAAGGTTTGAGGCGAGGGCTCCGCAGCGCTGATCATACTGGTCGTAGACGTCCTCGATGACACCCTGCGAAGTTTGTGTCTTTTGTTTTCCGTCGTGCTTCCGCTAAATTCTTCGTTTTCTTCCATTTCCCGTGGCTATACGTTGTGAGATGAGTTATACCCGAAATTATTTATGACTAAGCGAGGAAGATAGAAAAACCAAACGTATGAAAACTGGCCCTATACGTACAAAGAAAACAGAAGATCGATGACAACAGAAGACACAGCACGGCGGAAGTTTGAATATGGCGGATTCTTGGAAATGGACCAATCAGGATACGTCTCGGAGCTCCGCTGCTAGACTAGGTGGGAGGAGCCAGTCTGAGCTCGTCCGCGTTTCATAACGAAAGATAATGAAAACCAGCCTATCAGAGTTAGCGGGGTGCACAAAACCTGCAGTATGAATTGACTGGGGACAAGACAACACTGATCCATTCTGATCCATCAAAACTGATTTATGCTTTGTTTGTTTGACTGTCCACTCCGTGCAAGGCAGAAAGCCTACTCACGCAGTCCAAAGACATGCTAATTAGATTAGCTGGTTATTCTAAATTGGCCAAAGGTGAACGCTTGTCTGACTCTCCATGTTAGCTCTGTGATGGACTGGCAAAGTGTCTGGGGTGTGGTCAGCTCAGATAACCTCCAGTGACCCTACACCTTGTATGGAGTCATTTTTGACAAACTTTACACTATCAGAAATGACACTTAGGGAAAATTGAAAACTTGCCACAGAAAACATTACCAACATTAAGTATACTCAGAACAGTTTCAGAATGAAAGCAGGAATGTAGTTTTTTATCGTCTTCAGGCAGAACAAATTTGACTGTTAAGTAGAGTTAATCATATTAACATATATTATTACATAGGACTCTCTTTTCTTAATCCACGTTTATGGTGTCAGGACATCTGTGTTCAAATAAAATCAGTAGAATTGACTGAATTTTCAACCACTTTTGAAAATAAATTGAGTTTTGGACACCTGGAAATGGCCCTCGACCCCCGAGTGTATCTCTAGTACAGTGAAAAACAGGAACTTTTCTGTCCTTTCAGTTTTTATCTATTACTTAACTACTTTAGTGTAGTATGAAAGGCAGTGTGTTTCTTTCTTTTAAGTCACGGGTCTTTTGGACTTGTAGATTTGGAATCTAAAACTGGGTACTTGGAAACACTGTGAAAACATATGCAATTTGTTCCTTTGTTGATAATACTCATAATGTGTGAAGTAAAGAAAATTCTTATTTGGTTTGCTGACTTTACTTTATTTTTCAAAAGATGAGCCACGACATTCACTTTGATTCAGATTAGCGTTTTGACTCGAACTGGCACATACTCATGAATCAGGTGACTATTGTTCTGATCATACTGACACAAGTGATGTGACTCAGCCACATGACTAGAAAAAGAGCATCTCAACTGAAGGATGATCTCTGTTCTTTTTATAGTTCAAGATAAAAACATTAGCTGTGAAGGCAGAATAAAACCATTCAGCGCAATCAAATTTCTGCACTGTTACTAACATAAAGACAGCAACTAAAGTTATTTTCATTATTCATTGACCTAGCAGGTATGCTTCAGATACGATCTTCTCACAAAATAAAGTTCCACAAAAATAGATTTTATTTGCACAGATATATTTTATTTGGATCCAAATACATTCACAAAAGACTTAGTTTTGTTTCATTTTACATTAAAAAAAAGTTTTTAAACTTGAAATACTATTCAGTGATGCTGGTCTCACCTACAAGACAATCCTCTGATGCTATTACAGTAATACTATCAACAGAAACGTTGGGACATCATGATAGATGATGAATTGGATTTAAACTATAAAAACTCATCTAGCAGCATAACAAACCCTTTTTTATTCAGAATAGTCCAATTGAGGAGTCACTGATTTTGAAGAAGTCACTTAGGTGAGTGACAAAATGCAGTACAGAATGTCCAAAAGGTGAAAAGGCAACTCCAGGCACTCTTCTTCCCACACCGTGACTCCACTCCCATGAGAAAACGTGCTCTGCTTCCAGCTCCTGGAAAGACACAAACAGATACACACAATGAAAGGGCAATACACTGAAGCGAGGCCTTTCATGCACATTAGTCTACAGTAAAATAGTGCGCACCAAAAGCGGCCCTCAGCTGAAGCTAGCGATGGCTGGTGTGGCAGCATCCAGTGCGGGAACACTTAGGGACTTACGATCCCTCCAGCAACCCAAAACTTCCATGAGCTCACATAACCACAGGCAGGGAGATGGAAGAAAAGGGAGAGAACACAACCAACATTATAAACAGAAGACAATACAATCAAGAATCTTGGGCCAGAGGACCAGTGAGGATTGTCAGCGCGAGAAAAAAAAATGCACACACAAGCCCTGAATCACCAGACACAGATTGTGAACAAATAGTAAATGTAGCAACATCTGTGTGTGAAACACAACATTTCTAATATGATTAGATCAAATTTGCTCTGTCCTGAAAAAAGAGTGACACATCCAGTTGTATAAAACCTTTTTCTATAGACATTAGCACACACTCCAACAGGTTTTCATCCACTTGAACCCAAAAAGTCATTGCTCAGGACCCCAAACTTTCTAAATGTAATGTTTCCTTTGATGACAACAATGTTTTTCAGTTTCTGAAATGTAGTTGTAGAAAACCTGAGCTCTGCTATTTTCATCTGGAATGGCTTATTCTTTGTAGAAAGGTTTTTCTACTCATATATTATCCATCTGATCTGATAAACTTGGATAAAGAATCACAATCTAAGATTACAATATACAGGAGTGATTGTTAGTAAAAGTGGGTTTCTGCATAGCTGTGTAGATATTTCCTTAAACACCAGAAGTCATTTACAATGAATGATTTGATCAAAACTATCTGTGAAAAAATGTTACTGATAAACTTCAACAATAAAAGTAAATTTGACATTAA